TGACTTTTTATTTTTTGGCAAGTGACTTGTGTCCGCACTCCGGCCAGGAAACCAATTGTACTCGGTCTCTGTCGCCACCGAAATAGCGGTCTTCAACCAGTCTGTTTCTCTCTTTTTTCCTTCCCTTTTTTTTTTTTTTTTGCGTGCGTGCGTGTATGTGTGTGTGCGACCTCTTCATCTGATGTTTAATAATAAAAGGGATGAACGTTACCCCCTGTCTCTCTCCTGCCTTTCTCTGAAGTCAGGGGGTCACCACTCTTGCTGGGCAGAGCCCCAGGGAGGAGGCAGTGTCGCCGCTCCCTGTGGTACCCAGCTCCTGTGGGGGGACGGAGCAGGGGCAAGGCGTCCTGGCTGCAGTTCCCTGACGTGCACGGTGTTAGCAGGTCCCTGCCCATGCTGAAGGCGCTACCCTATCCGTGCCAGCTACAGCAGTGTTGACAGCCACGTCTCGATCCATCCTGTAGCCAGCCTGGACCGCAGTGAGTGTGCTGCAGTGTGGGATGGGGTGGCAGAGAGTCATAACTCCGGGTTCCTGGGTTGCTTTCTGCAGGGTTTGCTGAGCCCCAGGCAAGCTTGCCTCTGAGAATCAGAGGGAGATAAGGAAGTGTGCGTGGGGGAGAACTCCAGGACTGATGGGATGGTCGCAAAGAGACTCGGAGCTGGAGGAGGGTAATGGTGGTACGAGGGCCATGGTGCCTCTGCTGCCATCCCAATCAGTGTGGCAGGGTGCTGGTGGTGCTGGCTGTCCCCCAGGTGAGTACTTCTGTGTCTCCCACCACCTTGGGGCTGCCCTGGGTTGATGTCATGTTGCCTATTGCCAGCTGAGCAGGACTCTGGCACTGCTCATGCTGTGAACCCCCAGCTCCCAGGCTGTGACCCTGCCAGCCTCAGGCAGCCCACCTCCCCTAGCAGAGCTGAGTGCATCCATAGAGCCAGGAGATGCCTGTTGTGCTCTGGGCTCACATCCTCTCCTGCAAGCACAGACACTGTGCAGCCTGGCAAGGAGAGGCAGCTCCCCCACTGTGCTGGCACCCCTGTTTCCCCATTCTGACCAACAGGATGGGGCTCAGGGGCTCCCCCTGTCCCCACATGCCCCTCTAGCTGCCTGCCAGAACAGCTCATGTCCTTCAGGGCCATCCAGTTCCCTGTCCCCCCAGCCAGAGCCACACGGCTGCTGCGGAAAAGGTGCTGGTTTAATGCTGCAGCCCAGCCTGGAGCAAGCCCTGTGACAACACACTACTTGGGGTGACTGTGCCCAAACCAGAGTTCTATCCCCAAGGCCCCAGGCTCAGCTGTGCTTGTTGATGTGACGGGAATGAGCGTGCACGGCCTCCACAAAGGCACCCACGTGTTCAGGGTTCATGTCAGGGTAGAGGCCGTGGCCCAGGTTGGCGATGTAGCGTTGGGTCCCAAAAGCCTCCAGCATCTTCTTCACCAGCTCGCCAATCTTCTCCTGTAGGCACGGTGGGAAACGATATGTCAGTCCCATCCATCCCAGGGTATTTCCCACCTTCCAGTTCCCAGCCAGCCTAAGGGACTTCTGGGACACAAGCCAGCACTGCAGGTGGGGAAATTGAGCCAGGAGGCCTTTAATACAGGCTGGAACTAGCCCTGGTTGCTGAAAATGGCCAATGGCTCACCTTGGGTGCGTAGAGAGCACAAGGATCCAGGTTCCCTTGCAGGGTGACATCTTTCCCTGTCTGTGCACTGCAGCAGGGAGGAAGCTTGTGAGTTGTTGCATGTGGTGCAGAGGCTGAGGGCAGCCAGGTGCCTGCAGCCCCCATCGCAAGACACCCAGGACCCCTCAGTGCAGCCCTTGGTTGCTGTAGCATGGTGGCCCAACTACCCCCACCTCGGGAGCAGCCATGTCCGGGCCTGGGATGGCTCAGGGCAGAAGAGCACCTGAACAAGAAGAGCTCTGTCAGACTCTTACCGAGCTTCCTGGGGCCGGATGGTCCAGTCGAGACCGACCACCTCGTACCCAGCACGGGCCAGGTCACGCAGCGCGTAGTGCGCGTCCTTCGCAAAGATGATCTGGGGAGGGAGGAGATGGGCAGTACCTCTGCTATGGGTCAGGCCCCTCTCCACGGGCCAAACTGGGGCAAGCAGGTACCAGGGGATGCACCCCTCTCCAGCAGCCCCCAGGTGCCAGGGTCAATCCAGGCAGCCCCGACTCACCATGGGCACCAGGGGCAGTGCCTCCTCCTTCAGCTTGCTCTTGACAGCCTGGGCGATGTCTCGGATGTACGGCAGGGCAAAGTCCTGAAACTGCTCTGGGCCCAGGTGCCCTGCATGGGACTCAAACAGCTGGAGCGCCTGCCAGGGACATGGAGTCATTTAGGTCAGAAAAGACCTTTAAAATCATCCAAGTCCAATAGTTAACCCAGCACTGCCAAACCCACCACATATCCCCAGGTGCCACAACTACATCTTTCAAATACCTCCAGGGATGGCAACTCAACTACGTTCCCATGGGGCTGGGAAAGCAACACCACAGTCCCTCCTCCTCCTACCAGAAGCTAAACCCTCTCTGCTCCCTGTCCAGAGTCCCTGCCTTCCTGCCTGACCCTGTCCCCATGCCCCAGGACACACCTGCGCTCCAGCAGCCACCTGCCCCACCAGGTAGTCAGTGATGACATCGGCCAGCAGCCGCAGCAGCTGGTGGCTCGCCTCGGGGTGCCGGTAGAGCCAGCTCTTGGCCTTGGCCATTGTAGAGGAGCCGCCACCTTCAATCATGTAGGACATGAGTGTCCACTGCGGGTAGGAGAGAAGTGAGGAGGGTGATGGAGATGAAAGAAGACATGAGGCACCAGTCGCAGTGCTGAAGGTAGGACCTGTGAGCACCTCAGAGCCTGAGGCACAGCTGCTCCTGCATTGAATGTCCCCCACTTACACGGCCCTGTAGCACCCACATCCGGAGGTGTCATGGCTGGTGTTACCCCAGCAGGGCAAAGGAGCCCAGCAAGGAAACCCACACGGAGGAGCCACATCACTTACCGGTGCCCCTGAGAAGCCGATGAGGGGCACCCTGCCCTCCAGGCTGTGTCGTGTCAGCGTGATGGCCTGGAAGACATAACCTAGCTCTGCGGTCACGTCCACCTTCTGTCGCAGTTTCAGCAGATCCTCCACCTCTTTCAGGGGCTCTGTGAAAGTGGGTCCCTTGCCGGGGACCATGACAACCTCCATGCCCAGCGCCTGGGGACAGGGGAGAATGGAAGAAGCAGGAATGAGGCATCCCTGAACTCTGCCCTGTTCCCAGCAGCTGCTCCCCATGGCATTGGCCATGGCTCTCACCTGGGGCACCACCAGGATGTCAGAGAAGATGATGGCAGCATCCAAGGGGAATCGTCTGAGTGGCTGCAGAGGAGAAGTGGCAGTGTCAGTGAGGGGCTGGGACCGCTCCCCATGGAGGACCCGGACAAGCACATGAGGCAGTGGGGTCTCCAAGCGCTGAACAATTTACTGGCACCACCTGGGGAAGCCAGACACAGGGCTTCTCCCAGTCCAGGTCTGGTCAGGGAGAGGGAGACACACAGACCCGGCTGAGGAATGCTCACCTGCAGCGTCAGCTCACAGCACAATTTGGGGCTCCGGCAAGTGGCAAAGAAATCCTGCGCTGCTCGGGTCTCCCGAAACTCTGCAAGGGACCAGCACAAAGGTTACCGGGTGCATGCTGAGGGCCCCTCGCTGCCCCCAACATGCCTCCACCGGCTCACCTGGCAGGTATCGCCCCGCCTGCCGCATGCACCACACCGGGGTGTGCTCCGTCTCCTCCCCGCGCGCCGCGCGAAGGAACGTGTCGTTCTTCAGCTTGGGGAAGCCCTTGGGACTATGGGAGAAAGAGCAGGTACAGGCTGTCACCCACGAGGGCTTTGGGGCAGGCGATGCCATGGCCAGCGGCTCGTCCCCACTCCCCAGCCGGTGACCGCAGGAAAGGGCTTGGGCCCAGCTGTGACAAACGTGATAAATTGTGCCCACCACAGTCCAGGGCCTTTCCCTGCTGGGGGCTGCGGGGCCCTCCCCAGGGAGAGGCGATGCCCGGCGCAGGGCCCGTGAGATTAACTTATCGGGGCCACCAGTTGCTCCCGCTTGGAGAGGTTTGGGACGAGTGGGGCGCGGGGGCGGGCAGTCCTGGTACCGGCGGCCCCGGCCCCTATCTGTGCCGGGCCATGCGTCCCCAGCCTCCCCGCCGCGGTGTCACCACCGAGGGGCTGCTGGAGCCCGACCGGCCCCGGGGAGGGGAACCCCGAGAACCGCGGGGCCCATGGGGACAAAGTCCCCAAAACCTCCACCGTGGGACCAGCAACTTCGTTACCACAGCAGAGCCAGTACTCGCAGAGCCTCCCCAGTGCAGAATCAACCCCCACAGCGCCTCACCAGTGACCTCAGTGCCGGACCCTGGTGCCAGCACCACAACCTCAGGGCCACCGCAGTGCCTCTCCAGTGGCCCCAGTACAGGACCCCGCCACAAAAGCACCATCCCCAGGGCCCCCACAGTGCCAGATCGCCATTCCCGGAGTCACACGAGTGTCCCCAGTGCAGGACCCCAGCGCCAAAGCACCATCCCCAGGGCCAGATCGCCGTTCCCAGAGACACACCAGCGTCCCCCGTGCAGACCCCGGTGCGTGTCCCCCGTGCAGACCCCGGTGCGTGTCTCCCGTCCGCCTCACACTAGGAGAAGACGCAGGCCTGCTCGGCCCCGGTTACTCACAGCAGCCGCTCGCCACCCTCCATCTCCTGTGCAGCTCCTCAGCCTCCCCGTTGCCTCCCGACGGGGCACGGTCCGCCCAGTCCCGCCCCCGGCCCACCCCGACGGCGCCGCCATCTTGCCGTAGTCCCGCCTCTCCGTCCGCCGCCATCTTGCCCCGCCCCCCTCCGTACACCGCCCCGCCGTGCGCCGCCATCTTGCCCTGCTTCTCACTCCTCCGTACGTGGCACGGGCGCCGCCATCTTGCCTGTCGGCGGGCGGGGTTCGCCGTAAACCGGAGAGGGGCTCGGCCGGTGCCCGGTGCGCGATGCGGGCGGGCGGGGAGGCGCCGCACCAGGTGCTGGGCCGGCTGCGGTTCCTGCTGCAGTGCAGCGAGTGCTTCCGCCGCGCCCGGGCGCTGCCCGCCGCGCTCTGCTACGTGCCCAAGGAGGTGCAGTACAAGATCTGCAAAGACCCCGCGGCCGCCGCCGCCGCCGCCGCCCGCAGCCTCCTGAGCGTGTGGGACAGCCCGGGGCCGGCGCGGGGCGGGAAGCGGGCGGCGCGGGCCACCATCGAGGTGCGGAAGGGCGGCTGCCTCCGCGCCACCGGCGAGGAGTACTGCAACGGCGCCGGGCTCTGGGTCAAGCTCAGCAAGGTAACGCGGGGGCGGCGGCCCGCGGAGGGCCCGGCCCGGCCCCGCCTGACCGCCCGCTGTCCCCGCAGGAGCAGCTGGAGGAGTACCGGAGCGGCTGCGATCTAGAGGAGGGCTGGGTGCTAGTGTGCAAACACGCCGACGGCGGGGACCGGCTGGTGCCCGTGGAGTCCACGGAGCGGATCCAGCGGCAGCAGCAGCTCTTCGGGGTTGACTACAAACCCGTCATCAGGTGCGGGGCCGCCGCGATGCCCCGCTGCGTCCCCGGGAGCGGGGAGGTGCTCACCCGGGACCAGCTGTCTGGGCGCTCGGGGGGCTGTCCCTCGGCCCTTCCTGCTCTGGACTGGGGAACCCCAGCCCGTTTGGACATGTTCCATGGAAATGAGGCAAGAGGGATGCCGGATGTGGAGTGAACTGGGTTTGGCTTGGGCACTGTCCTTGTCACCTGCCCAGCGGGGTGTGGAAGGAGTAGACATGGATGGAAAGGAAAGGGTGACAGTTGAGGCTGGAGGTGATGGAGTATGGTGGGGCTTTAAACCCAAATCTTCCCCATCAAGCTACTCCTTGTTCCTCTTGGGACTTTCTCACTCCCTCCACTTCTCTGTGTTGTTTCAGATGGGAGCAGGTGGTGGATCTGACATACTCCCTGCGCCTCGGAGCAAAGCCCAGGCCCATGGAGCAGGATGAGGCTGCAGTAGAGAAGCTTCGGTATGAACTGTTTTTCGACTTCTGCTTGTTGGGGGACAAGCTGCTGTCTCTCCCTGGCTGCTCAGACAGCTGTCTCCTGCAGATGGGGGTGAAAGGGAGGGAGACAGGCAGCAGGGAACAGCTCTGTTCATCACAGTCTTGTCCTAGATAAGCCTGCAAAAGGCAGGAAACAGGGCAATACAAGGCAAGCAGGATGCAGACCTCCCTTTTTTGACCCATAAGCCTGGCTTCCTCTGGCTCTCCAGACCCAGTAATCCCTTTTCCCTGGTAGGTTTGTGCCCCCAACGTGGACTTATGAATGTGATGAAGACCTAGTGCATTTCCTGTATGACCACATTGGGAAGGAAGATGAGAACTTGGGCAGCGTTAAGCAGTACGTGGACAGCATCGATGTCTCGTCCTACACGGTGGGTTAAAGGGACAAGGCTGCATTGGCCCAGCTGTGCCATGGGGCTGTGGAGCACAGAGCTTGCTGTGCTGCTCTGGACTGGACTGGGCTATTTTTGAGAATGTGGCAGAGAAGCCTGGAGAGCATCATGCAGCATGTTGTGTAATGTGCCCCTGGAGGGACAGTGGTTTGAGAAGCCAATGCTAATATTAGTTGCTAAGCTGATTTTAGGGAGGGGTTGTTATTTTGTGCTGTGTGTGTGACCTCAGAGCACCTTGGAGGGCCAGTCCCAGTGTCCTGTGCGCTCTGTACCCCCCTTGTCTACCCACAGCCAGGCAAAGGGAACGGGCCACTGTGATGCCCCCTGGCACTAAGATTCATGACAAAAGTAACCGCTAAGCTAAAGGGAAGTTAATCCCACGCCCATCTGATCTTCCTTTCATTCACTGCCCTCTTCCAGGAGGACTTCAATGTGTCGTGCCTGACCGACAGCCGTGCTGACACGTACTGGGAGAGTGATGGGTCCCAGGGCCAGCACTGGGTGCGGCTCAACATGAAGAAAGGCACCATTGTCAAGTGAGTCATCTCTGCTCTGCACACTGGCTTTTGACTGGGACAAGTTCTGTGACTCCCTCTCTCTGCCTGAGTCTGTCATGGCCCAAATATGCCCTGCACTCCCAGCCCCTCAGCCTTTACTCTGCCTCTGGGTTTGAAGGGGTCTTGGCATTGTCACAGCTATCTGGGGATCAGAGCACCAGCTGCATGTGCTTGGTAACAGTGTGACCAGGCAACGAAGGGGAGCAGCGACGGGTGTTCAGATGCAGTTGCCTTCTCATGTCCTGCTTCCCTTTGCAGGAAGCTGCTGCTGACAGTGGATTCCAACGATGAGAACTTCACACCCCAGCGGGTTGCTGTGTATGGGGGCGAGGGGGACAATCTGAAGAAACTGAACGACGTCTGCATTGAGGAGTGAGTGGATGGAGGTACACAGGTTAGCGTGGCCCTTGCAGGGAATGGAGGTGCTGAACGCTCCAACCCTAAGCAGTCATATGGCCCCAGCCAGGCTCTCTGAGCTGTGGGTTCACTCTGCCTACAATAGCAGACAGCACAGCCATCAGTGCTCCCGATCTGATTGTGGGACTCATCAGAATCATGTCACCTGGACCTGTGTCACCAGCAGGTTCAGGCGTTCAACTGTATTGCAGGCAACTGGGTCTGGGTGCCTGCCACAGGCTCCCATTTCAAAAGATGGAAACCCTCTTCCCTTACAAGCATCCAAGTGGATTTTGGCAGGATGGGTGAGAGAACAGCCTTTCAGCCTTCATCTGTGCTGTGTTTGCAGCAGCTACATTGGGGATGTGTGCATCCTTGAGGACATGACAACACACCTGCCTGTCATCGAGATCCGGATTGTGGAGTGCCGAGGTAGGGCTGACTGCAGTGGCCACATCCATAATGCACCTGTATGATACTGTATGTTAAGAGTTTGTTCTGTGACTTGTACTTCTTGTCCCTGCGGGCTTTTTCTGATGAGATGCAAAAGAACCAGGGGGAAACTCCAGGGAGATCTGATGTTTTGGAAGTTCTCGGCTTTCATCCTATCTTTCTCTGCCTTTGATTATTTATTTTTTTTTCTCCTGTAAATGCCCCACTTCTTTACAGAGATATTTCAGGCTTTTAGTGCCCAGCCCCAGAGCTGGTGGAGCTGGTCACATTCCTAATGCTTTTGCCTGTAGACCTTCCATGCTGGAAGGCTTATTTCCTCTTGGTCATATCATCCATGGTCTTCCTTGGCAGATGATGGGATTGACGTTCGTATCCGAGGCATCAAAATCAAATCCTCCCGACAGAGGGACTTGGGGCTCAGTGCTGACATGTTCCAGCTGCCCAATTTGGTGCGCTACCCTCGCCTAGAAGGGACTGACCCTGACCTGCTGTACCGCCGGGCCGTGCTTATTCAAAGGTACTGTGTGGAGGGGAGCAGACAGGTGGGGTGGCATTGCCTGCAGGGGTTGCTGCCATCTCCAGCATGCATAGGGCTGGATGCTGTAAAGTTGTGTGACTCCCTTTGGGACAGACATTCTGGACACTGGAGAAAATAGCAGAATCATTTGGGAGCAAAGTGGGCTCTCTGGGGTAGCTCCCTTAAGCTTTCAGAGGAGTTTTGCAGCTCAAGTGCAGCGTCTTGTGTGTTGCAAGCACAGCATAGCTGTGCAGTGTGGGGGCATGTATATGCAGAGTCCCTTGTAAGGGAGTGCAAGATTCACTGCAGTGCCCAGGGAGTGGGAATTTAGTACCAAAGGCTGTGTGATGTGAAAAACCACACTGGGTTTGGTTTGGATGAGTTGCTGTTTTTCTGCTTGTGTCGAGGGGGTGCCTGGTCTGGAACAGACTTGTGCAGATCTCTGTTCCTCCTGCGTTGCAATACCTTTTTTGGGATTTAGGTTCATCAAGCTCCTGGACAGTGTCCTACATCACTTGGTGCCAGCCTGGGACCACACTGTTGGCACGTTCAGCAAACTCAAGGTGAGCAGTTCCCTTGATGTCTTGTTGGGGCCTCATTCTGGCAGCATGATGGTGCTTGGGCTGTGTCAAGGGAGGCAGCCAGTGCTTGTTGCCTTTAAAGCAGCTCAAGGGAAATACCTGGCTGAGCTCAGTTCATTAATGCTGTGAAAAGTGATACTGTTTAGAGGTCAGTTTCCTGCTAAACCACTGATGTGGAAGCATGTAGCTGTGGGGTAACAAGAAGAATCAAACCAGAACATTTCACCCTCCAAAACACTTGGACCATAGCAGCACTGGGCACGTGAGCTGGATACACTTCCCTTACAAGATCTAAGCCCAGGACGCTCCGTTCCTGCACTTACTGCCAGCAGCTTTGAGCTGGCTGTGTCCAAACTGCAAGGCTTTTACCAGTAACTCATTTCTGGCTTTAATAAGCTTTTGCTTTCCATCTTTCTCATAATGCTGAGTTCATCCCTTCAGTTGTCTGTTTTCCTTACATCCTCTCCAAGAATACATATGCTGGACATAACTGGGATAGCTCCATTCTGTGTGTTTCCAGGCCAGCTCAACATAGGACCCAAAGCATTTGAGGATTCTTGTTTGCTTAGAGGAGCTGGCTTTGATTACAAATGGGAGGAAAAGTAAGATCAATTTTCTGGTGGGAGTGAGGGTAAAGGAGAGTCTAAGCAGTACTGGAGTGTGAGCATCAGATGACAGCTGATGGATTGAGGACTGGGCTTGATGTCTCCCTCAAGTCAGAATGCAGAATCTTTTAGAGGCAGAGGGGGAGCAGATATTGCCAGGGGGAGTCTGTCTGTGTGGGAAGGCAGTGGCCCTGGGAAAGGGAGAGACCTGGAGGTGTGGTGTCTACAGTAGGAAGTAGGTGACGTGTTTTGTACATACCTGTTGGCAGCACATCAAGCAGTTCCTGCTGCTGTCCAAGAAGCGCACGGCCCTCATTACCCAGTGCCTGAAGGACTCGGAGACCAGCAAGCCCAATTTCATGCCGCGGCTCTACATTAACCGACGCCTGGCTATGGAGCACCGAGACAACCCTGCCCTGGACCCCAGCTGCAAGAACGCTGTCTTCACCCAGGTACTGTCCCTCCTGGAAGGGTCCCTGCTGCTCTGGGGAGAGTGGGGCATCCCAGAATGAGAATGATCCACATAAAGGTGGGTGGAAGGGACAGCTTGGAGCTGGAGATACCTAGAGCCCTCAAAGCCTCTTCATGTGACTGTTAGGCTCTCTAATTACATGTGCTGATGATCCCATATCCAGGAATAACATGTAGGAGGTATTTGGGATCTCTGAGTTGAAATCTGTACTCTGTCCTGGATGCTCTCTGTGGCATGTTGTTAATGCGGAGTGTAACAACCTTGTTACACTAAAAGGGCAGCAAAGAATTCTTGTGTGACAACAGTCATGCGGTTGCATACAGTCCTGTGTCATGGTTTTACAGCAGTGCTGATCTTCCTGTGCTCATTTTCTGCCCATCTCCAAAGGATTTAGTGCTCTATGTGTGCACAAACAGCTCAGACTGCTGTGAAATTTAATGTGTTCTGTGCACCTCTGAGGCTCAGAGGTGGGACACTGTAATTTGTGCTCCCTTTCCAAAAATGAAGGGTTTCTAGACCATTTAGAGATCAGCTTCAGTCAGTATTTAATGGTTTGGGGCAAACCAGATTTCTTCCAATTTCCTGCCTTCACCTGGCACCAGTTTCCCTGGAGAAGGGATACCAGCCTTGATCTTCTCTGCTTGTTGCAGGTATATGAAGGCCTGAAACCCTCAGACAAGTTTGAAAAGCCTCTAGATTATAGGTAAGTGGTGTCTGGATGAGAGGGGGCATCATGCAGTGCTGGGAGCTATGTCCTCTGTCACAGCAGAGCATTTGGGAAGCCTTTGTGTGTCCTGCGCTCTGGAGAGGTTTTGCTAGGACAGGAGCCAGTTCAGCCATGGGATAAGGGCCTGTTGCCCAAGGTGTCACCTCCCTACTGAGGATGCAGCTGTCTCTGGAGATTGAGATCTTGTCCTGTCCTAAGCCCAGGCTGCTCCACTGTAGTCCCCTGGTGTTTCTGCTGTGCCTGCTGCTTTCCCAGCACCTCCTTGGCTTTGAGCAGCACCTCAGGCAATGCCTGGCTTTCTGCAGGTGGCCGTTGCGTTACGACCAGTGGTGGGAGTGCAAGTTCATCGCAGAGGGCATCATCGACCAAGGTAGGGACTGCGCGGGGCTCCTCTGGAGCAGTTGGGGTTGATGAGCTGACTGTTCCTGTAGGGGCTCTTGTTTGCTCCCAGTGCTACTGCCCATGGAGGAGAGAGGGAAGGCAAGTTGCCTTGTCCTGCTGCTCCCAGCCATTTCCTAGATGCTGCTTGCTGGGATGGGGATCAGACCTCCATTAGTCACTAACAACAGCTTTACCAGTGCCAATGCTCCTTCTGGCTGTCCTCCCCAGGCCAGGCAGGGATGTTATTTCTCCTGTCTTTTTTCCTCTGGTGCCATAAGGCTCTGACAGGAGCCTTCTGCTAAACCCAGGACCAGGTTGGACCAGGATTCCTCATCTTTCCTCCATAACTGAGGGTCAGGACATGGGGAGTTCACATCTTTAAAAATGTCCTTCTCTTGGGGTTGCAGGTGGCGGTTTTCGGGACAGCCTGGCGGACATGTCGGAGGAGCTGTGCCCCAGCTCAGCAGAGACCCCCGTGCCTTTGCCCTTCTTTGTGCGCACATCCAACCAGGTGCAATGGGTCGGGATATCTGGGACAGACCCTTCTGGGCCTGGTAATGCAGTGCTGTCCCTGTCCCCTTGCATGCCAGGGACATACCTGCTTCGGCTGGTCCGAAGCTTTTCGTTGTGAGGGGTTGGGTAAATTGTTTTGTGGCATCTCATTTTAGAATATGCTAACAAGTGCCTGGATACTGACTGGTCTGTCACTGGGAATATTGTCAAGGAGGATGGGGGATTAGCCCACTTCTGCTGTGAGAAGTGCCCAGAGGCATGGCAGGAATGGTCTGTAGTGTTTCATGCTGTGCTGAGATCATGACTTGGAGTTTTGCCTCCCACTCCTGTAGGGTAACGGCACTGGAGAAGCCAGGGACATGTATGTCCCCAACCCATCCTGTAAAGACTTCCCAAAGTATGAGTGGATTGGGCAGATCATGGGAGCAGCTCTGAGGGGCAAGGAGTTTCTGGTAAGCTTTCAACACCATCCCTGCGAGATCTGCTGCAAAGGGAGTTGTTAGCCCCCTCCTGCAGCCTGTCCAACAGGAGCATGGGAAGGCTTTGTGTCAAACACTGGGACTAAAGGTGTTTGGCAGGATTTGAGGCTGAGGGATTTGGAGAACTCAGAGGCTGAGTCTTGGGGGATGCTGCTGAGAGCTTGGGAGACAGTGCCTGGTCTCTGCTTAGCTATGATGAACTCTGCATGTGGACAGGGGGAGCAGGGAAGCTGCTTTGTGTCTGTGTTGTTGAGCCCTATGTCCTTCTTTGGGGATGTCTCGTTTTCACACAGACTCAGCAAAATTTCTGTTCTCCTTCAGGTCCTGGCTCTTCCTGGCTTCGTATGGAAACAGTTAACAGGGGAGGAGGTCAGCTGGAGCAAAGACTTCCCTGCTGTGGACTCTATGTTGGTGAGAGGCACAGCCTCCCAGTTCTTATCCTGTTCCTTGTGGCACTCAGCAGTGTGGTGATTTGTGTCCCTGTCCTCATGTACTTGCTTCCTCCTGTGATCTGTCAAAGAAACACACGCAACAAAGGGCAGCTCTTAGCTGTAGGGTGCATCTAATGCTAATATAGAGATGCAGCCATACTGACTGCTGCTTTAAGCATGCAATGGCCCAGGGTCTGCTAAACAGCTCTACAGCAGCATATCCCATGCTGTGTCACTGTCACTTGTCTGGGAAGGGAGGAGACGGGGACGTGGGCACATCACTGCTCACTGGGCGTCTCTCTAACAAGCACTTATTTGGGGCCTGGGCAGGTGAAGCTCCTGGAGATGATGGAAGTCATGGACAAAGACACCTTTGAGTTCAAATTTGGGAGCGAGCTGACCTACACAACAGTGCTGAGCGACCAGCAGGTGGTGGAGCTGATCCCCAACGGCAGCAACACCGTGGTGCGCTACGAGGACCGCAAGGAATTCATCCGCCTGGTGCAGAAGGCTCGGCTGGAGGAGAGCAAGGAGCAGGTAATGCTGTCCCATAGTGTTGGTGGTCATCAGTTCCCAGAGACACCCCGCCAGTCTGCTTCTGGTAAAATGCATCATGGTTGGTGTCCCTGTGCTCACTAGTGCAATGGTAGCCAACCCTTCTGGTGAGGTCCTGGAGCCGATGGAGTTGTTCAGAAGCAGAGTGGCTTGTAGCAGCATGGGTGATATGGGTTTTTATTCCCAGCTCTGACACAGGCTTCCTTAATGAACTGGGATGCATCCTTCTGGGGTTCTGTCCCCTTCTTCAGGTTCCTTGGAGCGTTTGCTGAGCAGTCATATGGCTTACATCCAGTAGAGTCCCTAGGCTCAGCCATGAGTCAGAGAAATGGGCAAGACATGCTGCTTACCTGCCCTGTCTCCTTTTCAGATCATGGCCATGCAGGCTGGGCTGCTGAAAGTGGTGCCCCAAGCTGTTCTTGACCTCCTTACATGGCAGGAACTGGAAAAAAAGGTCTGTGGAGACCCTGAAGTCACAGTTGATGCCCTGAAGAAGCTCAGTAAGTGAAGGGCTCTGCTGAAAATTCTTTTCCTGAAAACAGGACTGTCTTCTGTCTGTGCTGGGACAAGGAGAGGTGTGGGAGGCTGGTGTTAGCCTTTATTACAGTGACAGCGTGGGCCTGTGTACTTCCTGGCTTTAGCTGGGTGCTGATGGGGGCAGAGGTGTCTGTTGACTCCATGCTGGGCCTCAGAGTAGAGGCTGGGACATCCCTACACTGCCAGTATCTGAGCCCCTGTGGAGCTGATATGTGGATCTGGCTGATCCAACAGGGATCTGTCTGCATGTGTCCCTTGCACCTTGGGTCTATGTGCTCACACCCTGTGGGCACCCAGAGGTTTCTTCCTGTGCTAGCAAAGAAGGAGAAGCTGGGATCTTTAATAAACTCCTTTCTGTGTCCTTTCTGCCAGCCCGGTTTGAGGACTTCGAGCCACAGGACACCCGTGTTCAGTACTTCTGGGAAGCACTCAACAGCTTCACCAACGGTGAGTGCTTTGCTCTGTCCCTGCATATCTCATGCCATGACAGCTCCTGCATGCTGGCTGGGAACTGGGAGGGTGAAACCAACCCTCATTGCTGCCTGGGGAACAGCTGGGAGCCAAGGAGAGCAAGCAGCTGGGCTGAAGGGACTGCTTGCTAGCACTGGGGATACCTGGAAGCAGCTGTACATCCCTCTAGGGTTTGCTGATACCTTTGCTTTTCCTTCACAGAGGATCGCAGCCGCTTCCTTAGATTTGTCACTGGCAGAAGCCGCCTTCCAGCACGGATCTACATCTATCCAGACAAGATGGGGTAAGTCCATTCTTCTGTAGGCTGCAAGGCTGACAGATCCCATGCCAAAGGGATGTGTGGTCTCATCACTGCCTCACTGGCCTGCTGGTTCTAACCAGTTTGTCACCATCTCCCCAAGCTCTGAGACGACAGATGCTTTGCCGGAGTCATCCACCTGCTCCAGCACTCTCTTCTTGCCCAACTATCCCACGTAAGTTTTGGTGCTTCCCTGTGTCTGGGAGACTGTGTGTCTGGGCTCTCTTCTTAACCTTGGTGCTGACCCATAGGGCCACACTTACATCTCCTGCCTGTCCCATATGGCTGTTGAGATTCTCTCTGTGAGCAGCTGGTGAACATTTTGTCCTCTCAGCTGGCAAATGCAGCAGTGGAAACTCCTCCTTATCTTTATTTTTTTTTCCCCTTTTGCCATCCCTAGAGCCAAGGTGTGTGAAGAGAAGTTGCGCTATGCTGCCTATAACTGTGTGGCCATTGACACAGACGTGAGTCCGTGGGAAGAGTGATGTTGCAGCCTGACCAAGCAGCATGGACAGTCATTCAAGAAAACCGTGCAGTGGGAAGAGCTCCCTTGTTTTTCCGGGATGTGTATATATAATAAACATATAGGTGAAGCCTGGCTTCCAGAGTGGATATGGAGGTTGGGTCTTCACCAGGGTGGGAGCTAGCTTGGAGTGTAAATATGATTGCAATAATGAAATCCTGGCCCAGCTCTCAGGCATCAGGAAGGTCTGGTAGGCTTTTGTAGTGAGTTTCTTCTCCACATGTCCCTGTTGTAGCTCTGCAAAGCTCGCTCCACCCAGGCTGCACTCTGCTGCAAACAGAAGTGGGACAGGGACATGAAGCTGCACAGCACAGAGATCTCTGAGCTGCTGCTGAGACCGGGGGAGGCTCAGAGATGCTCAGTGTGTCTTGACCACATTCCCTTGCCTTGTTCCTGCCCTCACCTTAGGCTAATGGAAATGAGATCATTCATCTAGGATTCAGAAGAAAAGGGGTGGGCTGGTGGCAGGTGCTGCAGGGGTGCCTTTGGCCACCAGGTGTCATGACAGACCTGCACAGCAGGACTGTGGGTGCTTTGGAATGGACTCCCATGCTGTTACATCCCACAAAATCCAAGTTCTGTGACCACCCGTGGTTCCTTGCACCCCTTGCACAGCAGTGACTGCTGGGGGAGCTGCTCCCCCACAGGAGGTGGAAACTGTCTATTTGCTTTTTCCTCGGTAACTTTCAGTTCTGCATCCAGCATGCTGGTGGCTTGGCAGCTGTTCTCCCAGGCTCTTTGAGCCTTGATTTTCCCCTAAAAGCCAGTATTAACACTAATCTATTTGAGTTCTCATGGAGCTGTGCAGGCAGGGCCAAGCTCTCCTCACAGGCGGCAGGGATTAGAGGCAGGCACGGCAGTACCAGGCTCTGCTCTTTGCTGAGGGAAGGGAGGTGTATGTTTCAGGTGAACAGGGAAAGCCTTTGCCCCAGGGCACTGGAGAAACTCTGGGTGTCAAGAATTGGAGCTCCTTGAGCAGATGGGCATGCAGCGCGTGAGCGAGGAGTGGGCAATGAAACCTTTACAGCTTCAAGACCATTGGGAATACTCCTTGATATTCCCAGCCCTGGGCAGGGCTGCTCATTGCCTAGCACTGTGAGCTACCAATTGTTAGTCCACGTTTATACCTCCAACTCCATCCTCAGCCTGTGTGGTCTGTTGGACCACCACTAAGAGCCACAGAGTCACTGAGGCTGCACTGGAGTGGGGCTGATGCTGTGAGTTAAGATTATTCCTGTGTTTAATGCTTCATGGCTTTTTCTCATCTTTTGAGGGACTCTGTCAACCAGAAATCACTTCCAGTTGTAAACAAAGTCCTTCCCTTCACCAGTTTCCTTTGAAATTGCTGTAGTCCCAGATCTGCTGAGGGGGGTTGTGCTAAAAGGGATGTAGGAGCAGGAGGGAGCATGTGCTGCCACCTCCCACATCGTGGTGAGTGGAGGGAGCACAGGGTAAATGGGGAAGCTGTTTCTGGCAGTCCTTGCCTGCAGCAGGGCCTTCCTTGCTCTTCTGGGTGGGTGTGAAGTCCTGTCTGCCAGAGGAGTTTTTTTATAAGTCCTAGACTCATCTCAGAATTGATATCTCTGGCTTTGTGGCTGATTCCAACCACCAGCATGGACAGGAGCAGAGCCAGTGCAGTACCTTTCCGTGGTGGTGGCTGAGTCCCTTCCTGGGGTGTCTGTTTTAAATGGGCATGAGCAAGCTGGTGAAAGGACTTTGATCTGCTGGCTTGGCCTCAGTCAGGAGTGTTGGGGAAGGAGCCTGAAGCAGCAGGGGTTTGAAATGAGCCATCTTAGATCTGAAAGGGACTGACATTTGGGTGGAATCAATCCTGCTTTTTCCAACCTTGCCCACTTGTCTCTAAGGCAGATCAGCAGGCAGTCACATTATTTACTGAGCAGAACTAGAAGCAGCAATAAAAATTGATTCCTCTCTGGTGCTTTATTGCTGGGCAGGGTAGGGTTGTTTGATAAGTGGCTCAGGGCAGGATGGATAAGACCCTAGTCTTTGGTGAAGGGTGAGCTGACGTCACCTGTGGGAATGGGCAGGTTAGGATCAAGCTAGGGCTGCTTGGGATAACCAGCTGTTGGCAAGCAGGCACCTCTGGCTCTGCTGCCCTTGGAAGCAGCTGCAGCTGATGGAGGGTAACTGAGGTAATTATGGAGATGTACCCTGACCTCTTATTTCCTGCTACCAAGAAGAGTGCTGCCCAATGGCTTACTGGAGCTCTGGGGAAAGAATCTAGCTGGTGACAGGGATTTCTGTTTAAAAAATACTTGTAGTAACAGGATCCTGGCCCTAGCAGAAAGGGAATCACCCAGGATGGTCTGGGTTTAACCCCTACAAGCATACTGAGAAAAATGGCACTGGCTGTACCGGGCTGAGGAGACTTGTGAAAGCCCTTCTAGTAGGAGGAAGAGCCGATCACATCACTGAGATCTCGGGTGAGATCGTTTTGTGCACAGTCAGAGAGTCTGGACAAACGTGGCTGCTGAGGAAGGACGACGCCAGGATAACCCACAGATCATGCTGTTGAGTTTGCTGTGCAAAGGTGAGCTGGGAAGGGGGAGCTGGGAAGTGGCCTGAATCTCCTCTGCATGGTCCTCTCTCATCTGTGGTGTTTTAAAGCCAGTCGCAAATTGAATTTCTGCTGTGACAGCCCAGTGAATTGTGGAAAAGGTCAGCCTGACTCAACTCTGGCCAATCTCAGGGGCCCAAGGTAGGTGTTATTTCAGTGCTGGGTCACATTTTTTCTCTGATCTCTAAAGGTGTGGGTAGGAACTGTCTCCTACCATGTTTGGCAAGACACAAGTCAAATGCCAATGCCCTGGACTCCTTCTGGATGTGGCCCAGGGTGAGGGAGCCCTCCTGGGCACCAGGAACCAGAGGCTGTACATCTTCATCCCATCAAACAAGTCCGTGGAGATCAATTTTCAAGCCAATGCCATCTTGAGAAAGGTGCCGGTGCCCCTGTGCTGCTGAGGAGTATCTGTGTGGCAGAGCTGCAGCTCTACTGGGTGGGTAGGGATGAGCTGGAGGAGGGACTGATGCCATCAGGATTGTCACAGAATAGTTTCAGGTGATTAATAACGCTCACGTAGTCTAGCTGTTCTTGTTATTCCACTAATACCCTGGAGTATGACAAACTGTAAGTAGTTTGACAGGTTCTGTCTGTCCCTACCTCATGTAGGATCTAAAATAAAATGAACAAACTAATTGCTCCTGACCTTTCTGGTGATTGGTGTGGTCTGGCTGGGGCTCCTGTATCCTTCTGTTGGGTTAAACAGTGAATGTGACACTCAGGGACATGGTTTAGTGATGAACATGGCAGAGCTGGGTTTACAGTTGGACTCAATGAGCTTAGAGGCCTTTTCCAACCTAAATGATTCTGTGATTCTAAACAGCAGGGGAGACTGGTGTCATGAGAGGCAGCTGGAGGTGAAGTGGAAACTGGCCCTGTGGTCCCCTTTGCACACAAAGTGGTGTCATGGAAGCGAATCAGAGTATTAATTGGCTCAACCCTTTGCAGCAGCTCTGCAACCAGCGTTACAGGGTGATGTGGCTGCAGAGGGAGGGCATGGGACCCTCCTGGCTGTGGTAACTGCAGGCAGAAGCAAGGCAGAAGTCTACATTTCTCTCACACTGTGGTTCAGGGCACTTTGCTCCTGGCAAGGCGGGTGCCCATTACTGTGTTGAGGCACAGTCACGCCTGTTCAACAGATAACGCTGCGGGGGTGACAGCTGTTGGATCAGTTTGCACCGTGCCTTTGCAGCCAGGGATGGAAACGGACTCTGACCTGCCAGGAGAGCAGTCCGGCACCAGAACAGTGCAGGGACCTTTGAGCTCTGCCAGGCTGGTTGTTTCATGATCCCTAAATGTGGCCTGTAGTGCCCAACCTGAAGAAATTAAGGAAGTGTGGGGTGGAGCTGAGTTGCTCTCTGCCACCACCCTGCAGTGGTATGTAACAGGCAGGTGTGACATGGGGTGACACACTGCCAGTGTTCTGGGTGGTTGGGTACTGCTGGGTGTCATAGCATTGCTCCTGCTGCCAGGATGCCACTGCTGGCCGGGGTAAAGCTGCTCCTGGGTCAGGAAGCCTGTCATCCTCCCCAGCTGATGCTGGAGCATCCCCACCGGGGTCCAGCCTGCCAGGAGCAGGAATATGTCCCCCTGCCTGGGGCAGGAATATGTCCCCCAGCTAGCCGGGAGCTGGTTCTCCCCATAGCAGGATACCTGCTGCCCTCTTTTCCCTATCCAGGCTGGAGAAGTAGCCCTGTGCCCTGACACCACAGGGACCCCGTCTTTGCTTGCGGGGATGCCGGCAGTGACAAAGATGTTGGAAGCCGGGAGGAAGCAGAGTCCTAAGCCGTGGGGTGAGGGGATGCCTGTGACCTGAGTCAGCTCCTGCCGAGAAGTGAGGGACTGGGGTGGGCGTAACACAGTCACGTCTTGGCAAAGGGGGATAGCGGAGGCCCCAAAGCTGGGATTGCGGCCCGGGACGGATGACGGGCTGGGACGTGCCGGCGGACACGGGCGGAGCGGAAGACGCCCGGGTAGGAGGCGGCGACCGGGCAGCGAGGGCTGCCCGAGGCGGGGCAGCCCCGGAGACAGACGGGCGCGGCGGCACCGCCGGAGGCGAACCGGCCCCGCGGTCACTCCGGGGCGGGCAGCGCCGGGCCGCAGTTGGGACAGCCCGGGGCGCAGCGGAGCCGGTGCCCGGTGCGCGATGCGGGCGGGCGGGGAGGCGCCGCACCAGGTGCTGGGCCGGCTGCGGTTCCTGCTGCAGTGCAGCGAGTGCTTCCGCCGCGCCCGGGCGCTGCCCGCCGCGCTCTGCTACGTGCCCAAGGAGGTGCAGTACAAGATCTGCAAAGACCCCGCGGCCGCCGCCGCCGCCGCCGCCCGCAGCCTCCTGAGCGTGTGGGACAGCCCGGGGCCGGCGCGGGGCGGGAAGCGGGCGGCGCGGGCCACCATCGAGGTGCGGAAGGGCGGCTGCCTCCGCGCCACCGGCGAGGAGTACTGCAACGGCGCCGGGCTCTGGGTCAAGCTCAGCAAGGTAACGGCGGCACCGG